ACGATTCTGTTGCACTGTACGCACTCTACAATCAATCGGCTAATTGCAGTAATTGAAGAACGAAAACTTCAAGGTGATGAAATTGTCTACTGGCATTTTATTCGCCCATTTTAGACGTCCAGTATCTGCGCGTGATTAGCTTTATGTTGCACTTTGTACTGTCTGTGGAGAATGTTTCTTCCCTTTGGTTTGTCCATCATAAATCATAAACCAAATTCATCAAGTGTCGTGACCTTGCCACATTCATTGATTTTTTGTGATGACACATTAAAAGTGTTCAGTTGAGCGAGATAAATCATTTCTTAAATTGTTATCGAACTGAAGACAACTTCATTCCAAATCATCATCGGTTCACCACCAATCAGGTCAACACTATAAAACCACCAACAAAGTCATTGCCGTTATCAGCGAAAACAGGAAGTATCAATAATCTAATATCATTCGCTAACTCCGAATGGTAATTATTATCTCGCCATGCTGGCTGATAAGCGCAGTACAATAACTGTGTTCCTCTCATTTTAATGGTTACTGATTACCCGTGAATGCCCGTTTTACGATCGTCGAAGATCAGTCTTGTAAAGAAAAATGGATTCCGCTTTATTGCCAGGCGTTATCTTCGTCTAAGAATTATTGCCTTGTTGTTCATAGATAACACATTTACTGCGATGCACTTTATTCAATAGCACTAAACGCAACCAGCAAATAAATGTGTTTTCATGCGTTTTTGCAATGATTCCTATTGATTTGCTGTTATCTATCGTTCGATGTGAAAAACAATCGTGAAATTCCAGGATGAATATGACTAAATTGAAAGAGTCACCGCGTAAACTTCCGCCATTCTCGCTTGAAGGCAAATATCCTACCAACTTTGAACGAGCGCTTTATCAATTCAAAGTTAGTATCCATGTGTTAGTGGAGAGAATATGTATTATAGATATTTCTAGTGCTTTTCTTTGACATCCTTATTATTCTGATATGATTTCCACATAGTACTGGATCATTCTGAGAAAACGCTTGTGAGAAATTAAGCGATACTGACGTTGGTAATGACTTGACAGGATTTGATTCACGGTCAAATGAATTTTACGGTTCAGTGTTCTCATTTAGTATCATTAGTTGCACAGAAGTTGAGTTTCTGTACCATCGGTTTTTTGAAATGAGCCATATTTTTCAGAATGCTGTTTACAATCGTCTCTATCCAGTTCATCCAATAGCTTTCAGCTGCTTAGTGATTGCGATATTAGCGTATCNATCAGTTGCGTTCAGATTCTTTACGGTGGTTTACGTTTCCAGTTCACCAAAGCAATGCAATGGTTTTGGATGGCATGCAAAAGATTTTCGTGAGTTTATCGAATGATTTTGAACAATATGATCCAACTGATTGAGTTCATCTTGCTGAACTGCTCTATTGTTTCAGATATCGCTCATTGCAGCTTACACACTCGTTTATGTGATTCGTTTCATTCTGAAACGAACCTACTTCAGTTATAAAGGATTTCTTTTCGAAGATAAACGCAATCCATCATTTAAAACGAAACTCTGGGCGGTAAGTCATTGATTTGCTTTGCAGTTTTGTTTCGTTCAGTCGAGGTAATCTGTATGCTGTATTCGATCTGTTATTTGTTGATCAGTTGGTAAACAACTCAATTTTTTTGAGGAAGCAACTGATAAGGGAATGATATCAGCATACTGGTTTAAAACCATAATAATGTATGGAATTCACGAATCACTATCTATCATTGTAAACACAGCATTGTGGTGTATGTGGA